AGGTATGAGCTCATATTGTGTCATTGACAACATGCAGTAATTCTCTATTGGGGGGGTTCCAAGAAAGCTGTGTCCTGCACAAACATCTCCATTAAGTTCCCAGCAATGGGAAATAAGTGAAATTCAAGACAGCATTGTTGTAAAATGACCCTTCCTATCCTGTTGCTATTTTATGCAAGTCCATTTGTGTGTAGCTCAACAACTGCGTCTCCACATGTGTATTTGTGTGTGTGTCTGTCCTGGGGTTTCAAATTACTTCAAAGGCGCTTTAAGACAGTCCTAAAGATAGTCCCCAGGCAGGAATTTATTCATCTGGTGTGACAAGAAGAGAGCTGTTTACCTACGAAGACTGAATTATCTTTTTAAATAAAGGCAACAAGAGAAATTAAAATTTTATCCTTTATATACATGAAAGGAAGTTCAGGAAAAAGGTTAAACTATAACATTACATTAAAAAAACTCTTAATTAAATATATTTTGGCAGCATAAATGTGATTATTTAAACAGTGTAGGGCAAGGCGAGTTTATTTCTATAGCAGATTTTAGTGGTAAGACGATTCAAAATGCTGTACATGAGCAGAAAATAAAAAGTACACTGCAGCTGTATAAAGGCAACAGAAATAATTAAATATAATAAAAATGTGTAATTAAACTTAAAAAAGCTAGAATTATTGATTAAATAAATGAAAGTAAAATTGAAATTTACACAGTGAAATGTGTTTTTTTTATTCTCTCTGGTAAAACAATTTAGGGTTTCAGTAGTCTCTGGGATTTTAATCCAGATTAGTGGAGCCACAGAAATAAATGCTGCTTTTCCACATTTTGTTGTAGTTATGGGGACCCAGTATAGCTTTGATTGGTCCTGGTGGTTGATATCCTCACAGGAAGTCCGTAATGTATTTGGTTGCTAAGTAGAGTTGGGCAAAAATCTCATCTCCATTTTTTCCCTATTAAATCTGATTATTCTATTTTTTCTCCCTTAAATTGCATAATAAAAGGGACAAAATACCATACATTACTTTAAAAAATAGCTTTCATTTCAATCATCCCCTTAAGAAGGTAACGCTAATTTAAGAAGAAGCAATACAATTCATGCTGGAAATAATGCTTTAAAACAATGTTTCACAGCAAACGATGAGAATATAACAAACAGAATGTTTGCAGTTAGTGGTGTTCCATCGTCAGCTAGCTAATCAGTTGTGAGTACACATCTCAGAGCAAGAAGAGCTGAATTGATGCCACTCTGAGGTATATGGAAGCACAAGAATTGCATTGAAGGTATAAAAAATCTATCTTAATTTTCCAAAATTTAAACATTCATTGGCAAAATTTTCAATCAAACAATTTCATCAAGGAATCGTCCAGCCCTAGTGTTGATTAGGGGTGAGTATTGGCATGGGTGTTGCGATACGATGCTTGTCACGATACCCGGGTCACAATACGATATTATCACTTTATTGCATTATAACCATATATTGCGATTTTTTCCTGCTATCAAAATTAAATGCATAGATAAAAAAGCAACCTCTCTATACGTTCAGATGATATTGATGGTTCAGTTATTTTGGTATCCATGTTGTTTGGGGTTTAAGGGAGTCCATGTCTTCCACTTTGAATGCCTCAACTATAAATAATACGCTGCACCGCACAGCAAAAGGGTGCCACAGCGCCATCTGCCAGAGTGGTGGTACAAAGGTAGCCCATTTTCCCTCAGTTTTAGGTAAAAAAAATTTCCCTTAAAAATTCGATACTAGGAACTAAAAGATCGATATCATATCAGTCAGCCAAAAATCGCGATATATTGCCAAAATGATTTTTTTCCACACCCCTAGTGTTGATTCATTCAGTGATTTATAGACCAACAAATGAAATTTAAAGTCTATTCTCTGAGATATGGGAGCCATAAGGAGGACTGTAGAACCGAGGTGTGTGTTCCACCTCCTTAGTTTAGTTGAGGAGGTCTAGTGTGCAATCGCAATTTGTTTTTATCACCTTTTACAAATAAAACAAAAAAAACCTAAGTGTTGTTTTTAGTCTCTTTTACTCTAATACCCCTTAAATCCAAAATTGCACATTTGATCTGGAATATTAAAAGCTTTGTTTGGCAGAAAACTAATACTGCACATCATCACCCTGGACACACCGTTACCCTAAACACCGTCATCCTGGTGAAACATGGTTGTTAAGGCTGCATAATTTATTGTGGGTATTCCGTCATCACAATAGCAATGTGTTTAATATTCTTACTGCAATAGACTGTTTGTAACGAAATGATTGGTCGTTAGATTCATACATTCTGCAAGTAATTAACTTATATTTCAAGCTGGACGGAATCTCAAACCAGAATCTCATTGTTCGAAGACAGATGAGGAAAAAAAAGCAAAGAGAACAGGAATATTCGCCTGATATTATTGCATTATTTACCAATATCACCACCATCATAACATGCCCTGATGGTGATGGTAGCATAATTCTATTGGGATATTGTTTGTATACAAAACCACAACAATCCAGGAAGAACTCAGTTAAAGGTATAGTGGAGGATTTTGGTGAATTTTTGAAAAGGCCCGCCCTCTTTTAAAAAGAAATGCACATGCACAACCCTCTACCCGCTCCCAAGAGGGAACGCTTATACAATGCATGCAAGAGCATGCACAAGCCCATTTCTCCTCCTACATGCTCTGTTTGAAAGTTGCTGTTTGGATCACTCATACTAGCTTACTTTCCTAAAGAAGATTTGCAATTTTTCCACTATGTCAGGTCGGGAAATAAAAATGGGGACGAGCATGTAAGACAGCCTTATGTAAACATATCACCAGAAGGATTGACAATTAGGAGGACCACTTATTTTGATGATCCACCAGGAAAAATAAAATTCTCCACTATACCTTTAAGGGTCCAAAAAAAACCCCAGAAAATTCAGAAGAATAATGACCCAAAACGTACAGCAAAAGCTACAATGATAGAAAGCATATTCATGTTACACCGGCTAAGTCAAAGTCAAGACATAAACCAAATTTGAATCTTTGGCAAACGGCAAATTGGTGTTTACACACACTCCATCAAATACTGAATGAGATGGAGATACTTTTTAATGAAAAATAGACAAAACAAATGTCAGTATGTGCAAAGTCAGGTAGAACAAACGATAAAAGGACCCAGGCAACGTATGTTGGACCTGTATGGGGAGAAAAAGGGCTAAAGAATTGTCCCCAGATGGCATGGTGTGGATAATATACTGTATGACGGCACCACACTACATAGCTGCTAAGGTTTGATTTAGGACAACCTTGACTAGAAAGTACGTCCCATATGGGTGCTGGACGCGGTGCGCATGCTAAACAGAACTGCATGAATCAAGATGCACAGCACAAATATATATATATTTTTAAAGAAAATTAGAAAAAAATCTGTTTTACTTTCACAACATTTTTTTATTTGTTTTTACAGCACTGTAAAGATTAACATTGCATTGAGATGTATTTAGGGCGGAGGTCTTCAACAGGGGGTCCACAGAGGTACTGCATGAGAGTTTTTTTATATTTCCCCCCTGCAATTTTTTTCCACTAATTTAATGTATTTAAATACACATGAACATGTATTCAACACACTGTAGTAAACAGATAAATGGAGGCAGAAGATGTCTTTCAGTCATTGATGCACACATTGGTGGTCACCGTTTCATTCACAACACCTGCCCCATCAAATAGGAATCTGAATCAGAAATACTCTAATAATCCCAGGATTATTAAAGTATTGGATGGAGTCATGTAACGAAAGTAATAGAGTGACTATAGGACTAGTTCAGTTCAGTTTATTTATATAGCACCAATTCACAACACATGTCAACCAAAGGCACTTAATAGTTCACCAGATCATCCAGTCAAATTGATTCAAAATGTTCAATTTAAGGAAAACCAGTTGATTGCATCGACTCATTGACTCGAATGCAATCTCTCATACTAACCATGCTTGTAGCGACAGTGGAGAGGAAAAACTCCCTTTTAACAGGAAGAAACCTCCAGCAGTACCAGGCTTGGTGCGAGCGGCCAACTGGGGTTCAAGGAGACAGAAGCAGAGATACAGAAAGAAGCTGTAAAAGGCGGCCCCGTCCAGGAAAAACACAGCCAGACAGACGAGCTCTGAACCAGCTCCCATGTCAGAGGATGAAGAGAACGCATCCAGCCAGTCATAGTCAGAGAAACAGGACTACACTGGAAAAACAGGCCGATCTCCAACATCTATGAACAAGGGTGTTGATGGTAGTTTGATATAACACAGTTTCATACAATACATAAAATTAGGGGGTCCCCGCTCCATCTCGTCATCAGTTTGGGGGTCCTTGGCCTGGAAAACGTTGAAGACCCCTGATTTAGAGTATGTGTGAGCGGTGGAAACCCCACTGCTCTCCATATTCCAAAATTAAATTAAGACACAAAAAGTGCTTGACCTTTCACTGCTATATAGAAGAAAAAAACAATATATACATTTTGCCAAGTAAAAATACCGAAGCTGACATGTCTGTGTGACTCTGAACTGAGCAGAGCCAGTCTCATTTGTTAATGTGAAAGTGAGCCACTAAAATAACAGCAGGAGGGCTCCCCTGACATTCAACAAGACAAGGGTAAGTTTTTCTCTTTTTTTTTTTTTTTTGGTATGTCCTCATTAGGACAGCAAACAGCTTCTCACTAAACATGACAGCAGATGTGTCAAAATGCATCATCATCATCATCTGAGAAAAAAGTTGAACTCTGCTTTTTCTTCTTCTCCTTTATTGAGCCTCTACCTGCTTCTTTATTCTTCCTCCTTCAGTCCTCTGTCACCTTGTAACCATGTGAACCCTTTTCTTTATTTCTGGGGGGGAAGGAAGGGAGAAAACTGCGCAGTTTCTGAGAGGAGGAAAGAAGGAAGGGGGGATAGAGCAGAACATAGAGAAGAGAAGAAGGGGAAGCTGAGAAAACAGCAGAGAGAGAGAGAGGAGAGAGAGAGAGAGGGGAGAGAGAGAGAGGGGAGGGGGGTTGGTGGATGTAGCTCTAGCTGTGGGCCGGGGGGTGAGCTACCTAACCCGGGCTGCTCCGCCGAAACATCCATGGGTGGCTGTGTCGGGAGCCACCACGACTCTTCAGGCAGCTTAAACGAGAACTCGGACGGCACTGGAGGTAACTTATCGGGCTCTATGTGTTGCTGAGCGGTCGCTGTTTGAAGGGCTCTTCCCCCCTCCCTCCCTCCCCCTGCAGGGTCTCTGCTGTCCTGCTGGAGCTCCGCTTCCCTCCCTGCCGTTAGAATAACCGGAGCCTCAGACAGACTCGGCACCTCCGTCCACACAGCGGGATTTAACCCGGGGGGGGGGCAGACAGACACTCTGCCCGCTTCTTTACTCTGCAAACTGAACCAATATTTAGAGCACTGCTGCCCCCCCAACACCTCTTTGTTCTTTGCTGTAGGTTGAGCTAGCTTAACGGTGCTAGTTAGCTAGCTAGCTGCTGGATGGACATCAAATATGGGTCAGAGCGATGTGGGGCAAGCAGAGGACCCAACCAGGGGGATTTAAATGGGAAATCAAACCCCCTACATTTAGGGATGCCTTTTTTTTATTTATCTATACTTTTGCTTTCTTTTGTTCTTTTTTTAGTAGCATGTTTTGAACTGTAAAGTGATGCAGAGAACAAATCAGTTTCAGTTTAATGGTAAATTTAGTGTTTTTTTTTTTGTTTTTTTTTATATAATAATCCCCTCTCCTCTGGTTGTTGTATTGAGTCGCATGTACTTGTAAATTGTAAACACTAAGGTTTTTGAAGATCTTAAGAAAGCTGGCATCTAATTTGAGTTTTGGTGTAGAGGGTGGCAAGTTTGAGGGATAGTTTCCGGGTTTGTCCTGCCTGAGGAGAGGATCCTCAGCTAGAGTTATTTTAATTACAGACTTGGGGACACTGCAGATCTGGGAAAAGAGGAGGAGGAGGAGGAGCACTTAGAGATGTAGAGATAAATCTTGATTTCCTGTATGTCTTCCTCTTTTTCTCTGCAGCTGCTTTAACTAGATGTGGCATCTCTAACTTCTGCTTTGCAGCTATTTGACACCTCTAGAATCTGCATCTATAGTCAGTTGCAGAGTTCACTTTATTGTTTTAGATTTAGTGTGATAAACCCACACAAATTCTGCATAGTTGTGGACAGAAATAAATAAAAACGTTTTTTAGAATCGTTTACAAATTATTAGATTTACCTCCGGAAACAATTTTCTTTCACAACATGAAAAGCTCATTTCTGTTGAGCATCGGCTGCAAACTAGGCCTGCTTGAGTTTATCTCATTTATTTCTAATATTTCGGATCAACTGATATTGCAATGATTATAATAGACAGATCCACCATGGACAAGTAATGCAAAAAGAAGACAATTTTCCCTCCTTCAGTTTTCTTGGTTTATTTCTTCTTGGTCAAGCAAGCAGAAAAGGAAAAATACAGGGTTCAGCAGGTCATTAAAAGCAATTCAATTATTATTTTTTTAACTAAGGCCTTAGTTGGGAATGAAATTCATTAAATATGATTATCATTGCATTTAAAATGCTTTTTTTTTTAAATGTGATAAAAACAATTTTGTCAGGCCTTTTAAGATGAACTTTGGATGCCGATCGGCTTTCGTGGAGGGGTGGTTCAAAGCCGATTGACTGATTGATTGTTTCGCAGGTGGATGGAGACTAATGAGTTTATTCAGTTGAACTTCCACCTAGGCTCCATTAGAGGTATTTCTAAGTGCATTAAAAGAGCATTAAATTAGAGTTACTCATTCATAAACCCTGAGACATTTCCTTCATGTTTTTCTTGCGCTGGTAAAAAAAAAAAACATACGCCCACCCAGATGCATGCTGGTCCTACTATTGACAGCCTATGTATCAACTGAATTTGCCGAAATAGATCATAACTAACTAGGAACAAAGAAACATAACTAAATAGCCGACAAATATAATCTAAGAACGGATATACCTTAGAATGAATAAACTTAACTAGATTATCCATCCATCCAATTTTCATCTAGCTTATCTCAAGTGGGGGGGTGCTGGTGCCTATCTCCAGCTGTCTACGGCAAGAGGCGGGGTACAACCTGGACAGGTCACCAGTTCATCGCAGGGCTTAACCAGATTATCCAAAGTAATAAACACTTCATTAGTTATTAACAAAAAATAATTGGCTTCTACATTTATCACCCATCTCCTTCTCATGTAATTTGTCACCAGTGTTGCAAACACTAATAACAGGATGACAATGTTTTTATTATGTGCTGCATAGCTCTGCTGTAAAACATTTTTTAAAGGCTTGCTACAGATTTTGAGGTGCATTTAGGTCTGAACTTTGCGTAAATTGAACAGATGATCTTTCTTCAGTCTAACCCAGGGTGTCCATCTCAGCCAGTCCTTAAAGGTCAATGTCCTGAAACTTTAGGTTGCTTCCTCGCTCAGACACGCCTTAATCGGGTGAAATATACAGCCGCTCTGCTGCAGGGTTCTTTTAATATCAATTCTTCTTATGCATTCAGCTCCATTCATCTTCCCTTCAGTTCTGATCAGTTCCCATCTTTCAGAAAAAGAAACATATTTCCACAGCATAATTGCTCCATCATCATGTTTGATAGTGGGGTTGGTGTGTTTAGGGTGAGGTCTGATCTGACCTGATTGTTGGTTTAATTTGGTATTCATGATCTTGTTTGTTTTCTTTGTATTCTGTTCCGATTCTGTTCTGATTTATTTCATCCCATAAAGATAAAATAAAATCCATTCAAGTTTTAGTTTGCAGTGTGATAAAGTTAAAGGTATAGTGGAGGATGTTTTTTTTCCAGGTCGATCATCAAAATAAATGGTCCTCCTAATTGTCAGTCATTCCGGATGAGTTTACGTAAGGCCGTCCTACGTGCTTGTCCCCAATTTAACTTACTGGTGAGTCTGACATAGAGAAAAAATTGCAAATCTTCTTTTGGAAAGTTAGCTTGTGTTAACGATGCAAACCAACTTTTACACAGAGCATGCACGAGGAGAAATGGGTTTCGTGCACACTCTCACACACATTTAATAGGCGTTCCCTCTCGGGAACGGGTACAGGGTTGTGGATATGCTTTTTTTTTTAGTGGAGAAGGCAGGTCTTTTCAAAATTTGTGGAAATCCTCCACTATACCTTTGAATTGTCAAAGGGTACAAATATCATCAAAATACTATACATTTACCCTTTAAAGCAGACCTCTGTCATTTTTCACTAAGCAATAAAATGAAGAAATGCTGAAAGATGTGGCTCACATTAATGCTGTAGGATTTTTAGGTCAGTTATAAAAGGAAAACCGAGTCAAATTATATTTAAACATTAGCAGGATAATGGGGTAATACAAAATCAGAATGTTTGCAAAATTCAAAAGCATTATTGTTATAAACGTTTAATGGCCAGCAATTATGTAAGTTAAAAATAGGCTTATTGTTGCTACTTTTTGGCTGCAAAATACCTTCAACTTCTTTAACGTTCCCTTTTTATTTATAACCTAATAGTGTTCTGTTGCTTTGCGATGTTTGCAAAAGTTTTTATCTGGAAGAAAAAATGTCTTAGGCCATCTTAATTAGATTATTTGTTAAATATGATTGCTTAATATTACAGTAATTAAATTTTTTTGGGACTGGTATATATATATATATATATATATATATATATATATATATATATATATATATATGTATATATTCTCATTATCATTTTTACACCGTAAAGTGAAGACGATAAAGGTCTATTGAATTGGCCAAATATATTAAACATTACATTTTATAGCCTGCCTAATATCACATCCAAACAGAGGGACTATCTATATTACCATATATTGTTTTAGCTCTACACTTAATTCATCCTATAGTATCTATAGTATATTTTTGATATAACAAGCCAAACACAAAGACATTTTTTAATGATAAATTCTTTGCATTTAATAATGTTCATGTGTATTTGGAAAAGTTGTTGTAAAGCTGGGATATAAGTGGCTGTAGGTGAAGAGAAACGAGACGATAATTGTAAAAGTGGGATGAAAACAATGAATTTTCTTCTTTTTTTTTTATGTGGTAGTTAAAGCCGACCTGAGATGTAAGCAATTAAAAGTTCTTACCTTGGGCCCCAGATTCCCCCCTCTTTTTTTTCGATTACAGTGGGGGTGGGGGTGCTTATACGGGTCCCTGCACTGCAAATAAATCTCAATAAGTCGATGGCAAATTTATGTAGTAGCCTGTAAGCTCTACTAATTCACCTTGGCCCTTCCTTCTGGAGTAGAAGGTGGTGTAGACCGTCAGATTAAATGAGTAAGTCGGGGAAGTAAATCCCTTTGCAGTTAACTCAAGCCTTTGCTAATTAAATAAAGAGATTGTAAAAGCTGCCAAACAGCTGATCCCTTCAGCAAGTCTTACTGCTATTTCATAACTAGGGTTGGGAATTGATAAGATTTTCACGATTTCGATTCCCTTATCTATTCTGTGAAACAATGAACTTGGTAAGTGCACGGTGACATTTGTCTAACTTCGCCTGGGACATTCTTTTTCTGCCTGGATTGGCGAAAACACACTGGAAAAAAATTTAATCTAAATTAGTCCTTTTTTCTTAAAATAAGTGCATTTGTCCTTGAATTGAGGAGATAAAAGAGACATATTGCCAATGGAACAAGACAATTTAAGTTTAAAATAAGAAAACACAACTGCATTGTCTCATTTCAAGTGCATATTATCTAGTTATCTTAGTTTAAGAGTAAAAATACTCATTCCATTGGCAAATTATCTCATTTACCTACTCAAATCAAAGGTAAATACACTTAATTTAAGACATCATTTACTTATTTCTAGATCGTTTTTGCAGTGCAGAAGGCAGTGAACGGGAGCACTGGAAAAAAATCTAAATCTAGATTAGTAATTTTTTCTTAAAGGTACACTATGCAACCGGTGTTGATTTTCCAGCGAGGCTCCCCCCAGAGGGCGAAAGTAAAAGTGCACTGTCGTAAATATGCACAGCTGTTCTCCTGGTTTCTCCGTCAAGCCAGGCGCGGTTGTTTTGAGCTTAGCAGACAGGCGAACCCAACGAATGACTAATTCGTCGCTGCATGTAAATTCGTCGTTTACATGCAAAGTCAATGGTTGACGCGCGTCAAGGCGC